GTGTGTGTGTGTGTGTGTGTGTGTGTGTGCGTGTGTGTGTGTGTTTTAATGCTTGCCCGTCCGTCTCTCACCTCTCTGATTGTTTACAAGACCCCTGCATATTCTGTTCTGTTGTCTGCTTTGGAGAGCTACCTTTTTGTGTTGCTGTCCTGGGTGGGCAACAGGCCAGCTGCATATGCATGGAGATTTATGGAATGTAAGATGGCGAGGAGTTTCCGGCCATAAAATTAGAAACAAGGAGTATTGCTGGCCATATGCAGCTGTCCTGGCCAGCTGCGAATACTTGGAAATACTTGTGTTTTTCTACGCTCAACTTGGTATGCGCGCAAAGTTGTAAACCTACGTCATTTGCTTTGTGTTCAAGCTTTTCATTTTCAAGGACTCTCTCTGTCAAGAAAAGAAAAGACCGAAAAAGGTCTCTCTGTTAGCGATTTCGTTAAAGTTGAATCAACTTGAATCAAGTTGAATGTCCTTTTTTTTTTCTTTATTTGGGGGGGGGTTCACCGCTCAGGCTTGAGACATGTTCTTAGAGGCTCATTTTGCCCTCACCCTTTTTTTCCTTTCCTTTTGACAACTTAGCATCACCTCTATGGGTCTGGGTGCTCCCTAAGTTGGATACCTCTTCTGCGACACCCTCCTCCTGTCAGAGCTCACTTTAATACCGCATACTTTCCAATGTTTCCATGCCTTGGAACATGTCGTAATTTAGATTGGCGAAAACGCCGAAAAGAAAGAAAATAAGTTTTGACTCTCGACTCTCGAGTCTTTTGACTTTTAAAATTCTGTTGTAGTAACTTGTTACTCTTTGAGTTTTAATAATGAGAAGAGATGGCTGCTCTGCCTCTTACTGTTTGGAAGCCCTTTTCTTATCTTCTGTCAAAGTTCTATGTTCTATTTTGCCTCAAACTTTCTTTCATGGAGGGTTCCCTTCCTTCCTTTCTTTTTTTTTGTTGTAAGGGGATCGCCTCGAACGTTATGATATCAGTTGGTTTCTGTCGGGATTCAAACCCATGATCTATTTATTAGCAGTTACATGTGTCACGACACTGCGACCCGCTCGCTCAGTTTCTCCTTCTAAGTGTCTGTCATGGGGGTCTCCCTTGCTTATTCTGTTTGCTGCAATCCGTTTGCCTCTGGGTGTGACTGAACAGCTGCGTATGGCTGGAGACGCTGCCGATTGAAATGCAGGTGAGCATACTCCGATTTCTCCTAGTCGAGAGTTGGCGGTTTGATGCTGCAGATCTGCAAGTCGTAGCCGAGCGGATCATTTCATCCGACAGAGCGGGTGCAAACATCTGGGTGAAGCGAGCTGCGCAGAGTCTTCTCGAGGGGATCTGTCAGAGTGACAGTGAAGAACGCCGAGCAGCCGCCTACGCATCAGGATCACAATCAAGTACGCCCAATCGCCTCATGTCACTCCTTTTTCTTTTTTCGTTTTTGCCTCCCGTAGCTCTGGTTGGTCAGTCACACACGCGTCTGCTTCTGCTGTCTGCAGGGATTGTGAAAAACAATTAACCTCTAATCATGGCTACGCCGCACCCGGACCCGGACCCGGACATTTCCGGACATGGAACTGGACCTGTGTCCGGTAGTTTCCGGACGTCCGGAATTCCGGACCTCCGGACATGGGGGGTCCGGACGTCCGGATGTCTGGACAGGTCCGGAAATGTCCGGACCATTGAAAAAAAAAAAAAAAAAAAAATCTGAAAAAAAAGTATGCTATGCAGAATAACAATTCAAACCACTTTTGCCTCAGAGTCATGTCAGAATTCCTAGCCAAACTTGAGTTACAAGTCAAAAAGTGACAAAAACTATAAAAAAGCTTTAAAAAAGACTTTAAAAACTAATGAGAGGTAATGAATTATTAATAATTAAAAATTTGGGGTTGTCTAATAAATTATTATAGAGAGAGAGCATGTCCGGACCCCCCAAAAAAGCATAAACGGGCCTGAAAAACCCCCAAAACAATTTTGGGGGCTTGGCTCCTCAATGGCGAAGGGTCCTGGACCGTTTTTTTTTTTTTTTTTTTTTTCGAATTTTGGCAGATCCGGACCTTCCAGACCGGACGTCTGGAGTCCGGACTGAATCCAGACCGTCTGGACGGCGGTCCGGACGTCCGGATCGTAGCCATGCCTCTAATTAATCACTACGGATGTGAAAATCTGGAAAGGGAAGTTGGAGATAAGTGTGTTATGTAACTCAGCTGATGGCGCTTGTCATGTGAGTTGGATCCCCAACTCTTATGGGCACGACTTCTCGTCACCAATGCGAAAATCAATGCTCCTCATGTACCCCCTGTCCTGAGTTATTCCAAACTCCCACACTCCCTTATCACTTTGCATGTGTAGCAATCATGTGAAAATTATAATATTATTACTCCTTTTTTTCCGCTTTTCGTACTATTACTTTTTCGAGGCGACTTTGGAGGAATGTGCTGAGGAAGTTTCTGCTGTTCGGCAAACCTATCTGTTGTTTTTTTATTCCTTTTCTTTTTCTTTTTTTTAAGGGTGATGGTCTTGAGATAATATCTTTGAACTGACCAGGCCCCCAGGTAAATTCAAAGTTATTTTCACTCGCCTGATTCCGTTGGAATTCGAGCTCAGGTCTGCATTTCAACAGTTTGTAGGTTTACCAACTGAGCTAGGCCAGTTGGCCAAAAACTATTTGGAATTTTGGACTGATGCGGTGAGGAAGTTTTTGCCATTTGGCAGAGACCGAGTTGGCCAAATGTGGCGAGAAAGTTATCGTCATTTGGCAAGCCGATTTACTTCGGATTTAGTGTCGCGTGTGTGCTAACAGCCTACCGGTAGTACCAGGCAAAAATGTAAAAATCAGTTCTCGCCGGCTGACGAAAATGCACCGTGTTAGCCTACCTCGATTACATTAAGAAACGGAAGAGAAATTGGTTCGGCTACCGAGTTTGGTTACCTCAATTAGATTTACATTGAGAAATGGGAGCGAAGTTACGGGAGCGAAGCAGCTCCATTCGTTGTTTTTTTCTTCTTATTTTATGTGGTCCGGTCGACAACAGGTCAGGAATTAAAGTTATTAAACTGATCACAACCGCAAATGCTACACACGATCTTACTTAGCGAAAGGGCAGAGAAAGGTGTTGTAGCAGCTCCAAATTATGAACCTGGCCCTGCGGAATTGTGTGTTGAGTACTATCAACTACAATCAACTAATAAGCGAACCACCAACACGCGTAGCTCAGTTGGTACACCCGTGAACTGTTGAAATGCAGACCTGAGTTTGAAACCAGATGGAACTACCTTCTTCCTCCGCATACAACGTACTGTCATTATAGCTGTATCTAGACTGAAAGATGGCTCAAATGCAGCTATAATGACCGTACATTGTATTTGGGGGAAGAAGGTAGCATGAAATTCTTCAGTGACCTCGGGTAGGTTAGTTCCACGATGATATCTCAAGGCTGTCGCCCATTTCTGAAAAAAAAAAAAAGAAAGGGGAGAAAAAAGAACTTGTCAATGAACCGAACCCTAGAGACGTTTGATCATCCTCAATGGCACAGTGACTTAAATGTCACGGAAAGGGTAGCATCGCCAGGGACGTTTACCACACCGCACCCCTTTTTTTTTCTTTTTTTTATTTTAAATGCAGGCTGGGACAGCTGCATTTACTATGCTATTTTCTTCTCTCTATATTTTATTATTTTTCCATCTCACACTACCTACCTCAAACATGTCTACCCACCTTCCGGACCTGCAAGGGGCACGGCAACCCAACCAGCAAGGAACCCAGCTCCACAACCACAGGGTTTAAGGTCGAAGACTGCCCACTACCTACCAAGGGTTATGGGTTGGATTCCTTCTCACACTACCTACTACCTCTACTGAACTCTGCTCTATGCGGGGAGAAGTAACCCGGCTCCTAACACCTATTGTTCTTTTCTCTTTGGTCATCTTTCGCATTCCTTGTTGCGGTTCTGCACCTTTCGTCCTCTGCCATTGGGGCTTTTGGTTTCATGGGTGATCTTGTGCCTCAACAATTGCCACATTATGCCGCTTGGGGAGGCTTGATGCACTTGGTAGTTAAAATCCCTCCGCGGAGTCAGCACCGAGTCAGTAGTTTATTATGCGACGCATTATCCACCAGGAACCATTCATAGTATTTCATACCCTTGTCGTCATGTCATGAATTAGTCTATAGTCAAAGATCAACCCGGTGTCAACCGATCGTCGTCGATGGTCAAAGGTCAACCCCTCGTCAACCGATCGTTGTCGTTGGTTAAAAGTCAAACCATTCAAAGTACGAACACTTCTCGGTGCACCAAGGAATGGGATAGTGAGGATATCGATTCCTGTTGCAAGGAACATGAATGTGGACGAAGCACAGAAATCCAGATTGCAAGATCACACTGAAGTCCAAGTAGTCAAAGCAAGAGCAGATAGCACAATGGAACCGAGTAACCATCCATTTGAGAACGATACAGAAGAATCGTGAGTCAATGTCCAAGCCCAATCGGGCAACATCAACAGCATAACCCAATGTAGCTCTCTCTCTTGAATGGCGCCAAGCGCCCTACCTACTCTACAGCCTATCACTACAACTACAGCATGAAAGCAACCAGACAACTTGACGACCAGCGAGTGATGATGTCAACATCAATGCCGACTTCCCCTCCTTCCAGGTACGTCTCTCTCTTCTCCTTCACTCTCCCTTGTTATCCCACACAGCGCCCTTCACCTCCGAAGAACCACCTTCGCCCTTCACCCTGCTCTGCGCCCACAGGCAGCCAGGCTATGGCCGCCAGCGCCCTGCGCCCAAGCAGCGCTCTACCGCTTAGCGCAGCCTGCCTCTACCTCAGCCTAGCGCAGCCCAGCACCTCGCATTCGCGCAGCGTGCCGGCATTGCCCGCAATGGCCAAGATCCTGGCCCACTCGCCCTCTCTGCCTATATGCCAGTGCTGCGTGTGGGCGGCCTCCCTTGAGCCTGCGCCTGGGCCCCAGTACCTGTACCCAGGCCCAATGCGGTTGGGGCCCACGCAGTACAGTTGTGCCTCTTTCATCCAGGCCTGCGTCCAGATTCAGATAGTGGCCCGGTATCCAATTGGCATTTTCGGCCTCTATTTCCAGTATGCAATGTCGGCCTCACGTTTATGTGCCCAGGGCCTAACCAACTCTGGGGCCCTGGGATTTCTGCATTTGCAGAGCTCCGATACTCGGTGCACACCAACCAACTGGCGTGCTGCAACTGTATGGACCSCACTTCGTGAAATGTTTGCACAGAGGGCTCTTGTTGATTTGCTGGCCCGCCTTCACTTAGGGCGGGCACCAGGCTTGCTGGGGCCTTAACCCAGAACACGTACATCATGGCAAGGCCCCTTCTTGAGGGCTCAATCCTCACATTCCATCCCCCTTAGCTTTGAAAGTTCGCTGAGATGCTTACTTCGCAGGTGCCTTCCCTTTTAACATTCTCTCATAATCTGCCACCACTTGAGGAGCTGTGTCAATCAGTTCCTCTCTGGTGAACCACCGATCTTCCTTCGGATCCGTATGATGCCTGAATCGGATGCAATACTCCCACTTGGGTTTAGGAGGTCTTCCTCTACCCAGTGGCTTTGGAACAGGCAGATCTCTGTGATCCACAATGTCGTCGATGTCCACTTGACCATCCATGGTTGGGGGCAGCATCGATCTCCTGGAAGGGAACTGATCTGTCTCAGCGAAAGGTGCAAGCTTTGAGGCATGAGAGACAGGGTGAGTGCGCAGATGACCAGGGATGCGGATAACATAGGTAGGACCATCCATCTCATCCCCAACTATATCCTGGACTTCCGATGGACCAAAATACTGAGGCATTAGTTTGCGAGAGATTCTGAACTCCTGTCCTAACTCACTAGCCTTGACCCAGACACGTTCCCCTACCTGAAATGAGGACTGCCGACGATGTTTGTTCTCAGAAGCAATCATTGCTTGTTGAGCTTTCTTGATGTGTTCGACAGCTTGCTGTAGCAACTTCTCATACTGCACACCATACTCAAGTGTGCCTGGAGTTGCAGAGGGTCGATTTTCAGGCAGGAGGAAATCGAGAGCTGATCTAGGCTTCCATCCCAAGTGTAGCTGATTAGGACTAACGTCGGTACTACTGTGTACAGCGTTGTTGTACAGGCTGGCGATGAGAGGCAACTTTTCATCCCAGTCATCCTGGTTGGGCTTGATGTAGTGCCTCAGCAGGTGTTGTACAACCCTGTTCATCTGCTCGGCCTGTCCGTTGGCTTCGGGATGATTCCCTGAAGTCATCTGAAGTTGACTGCCCATCTGCTCAGCAGTCTTCTTCCACAGCTCACTTGTGAATCAGACATCTCTGTCACTAACAATTGACTTTGGTAATCCAAAATCACGCACCAAGTTGTCCATGAACAACTTGATG